ATGGGGCTTGGTTTGTGCTGGAGGGATGAATTGAAAAATGCTAACCATGTAGCTGCTGTGGCTTCAGGTCTATGTCAGGTATTGGGAAAATGCTGAGAAGGCTGTAGACCCTCAAAGAGTTTGGCAGGCATGTTAGAAACCATAAACCTGGTAATAATGACGAACAAGCACTATTCGAAGTTTATAATAAGGCCTATGTTTAATGAGATAGCAGTAGAGCTCCTCAGTGAGACAAAGAGACCTGGAGAATTCAAGGAAATTTCCACAGAAGACAGGTAGGCTTAGCTGATTATTAAGAGTGCATAGTTTTTGGACTTAGATAATAATAATAATTGAAGATCAGATTGAAAGGGAAAGGCGAATGAGGGAGGAGGAGAACAAAGTTGTCAAGATATCGGTGGCCTTTACCTACATTTACTGTCATCCAGTGCTGTTCAAGGTTTTTCTTAAATTACAAAGGTTTTATGCTATCTGTTCTTATTGTTTTATTTGTTTATTATAGTTGGAAACTGTGGTATTGATGAACAGATTTCCCCCAATTCCACCTGTGAGTCCTAGATTTGGGAAAATCCGAAATATTTCCTTACTGGTTACTCCAGCCATTGCAAATGGAGAAATTGGCTTTACTAGCAATCTTCCGATCATTTTGCATGAACCAGAAGGTTCTGCGACTGAAGTGGTAAGTAGGCTCTTTATTGTTGATGGAGTTTAATGAGTTTAAGTTATTCATACCGTGTGTTAGCTTTCTGTGGTTGGGACATAATACCTAACATAACAAAACTTAAAGGAGGAAAGATTTATTTTGGTTCACAGTTTCAGAGGTTTCAGTCCACAGTTGGCTGGCTCCATTGTTTTTAGGCTGAAGCATCATGGTGGAAAGGCACAAGAGAGGAAAGCTGCTCACATCGTGGCAGCCAGGAAGCAGAGAAGGAAGGCAAGAGCCAGGGAAAGCTATTCCCTTCAACGCACACCCTCAGTGAACTACTTCCTCCAGCAGGCCCGCCTCCTAAGTTACATTCATCTGTGAACTCATCAGTGGGCTGGTCCATCAGCACCCTCGAAATCTCATCTTAATACATTCAAGCCAGCAATCACTTAACTATCACAGCACAGACACTTTCTTGTAGGGTTCCAGTATAAAGTTAATGGATCTTAAAAAGCTTCACCATTTACAGCAGGCCTTCGATATGTAACTTAAACATGTCACTAATGTGTGACTTTTCCATCATTTTTCCTATATTTGATACAATAAAATTAAAATGAATTGCTCATGGTAAGAGTAGGAGGTTTAAATGGTACTACTTTCAAATAGTCTGCTAACATGTGACAATGATAGTGAACATAAATCAGTTTTTTAATGATCAGGTTGTGGTAGCACAGGTATTCTT